ATACTTTGGTGAAGTAATGTTTTTCTATGGCGTTTGAACGTCTAATAATACTTTTGACATATAAATTGGAGATTAATTTATGGTCAAAATCTTTAAATTTTTATCAATTTAAGATTAAATGTTTTAATAGTAATAATTAAGGGTAAATTATATTTTATTTTTTATAATTAAGTGTTAAGATGAAAGGTGTTTGGCATGTGTAAGATACATACATTACGTAAACATTGCCTCGATACAAAAAAATAGTTTTGTCAGAAAATCATTTCTGTCTTGATTTAGGATGATAGATAGTGTTGTCTTGTAATGTCTTTTGCTTGTAATACGTATTCTCTGTCCACTTATCAACTTAACTCTTAATTGTAAAAATATAAAAACATTTAATTTTTAATTATTACATTGAAATGTTTGACTCTTAATTGAAAAGTATCCAACCATTTAGCTCTAATTTAAACATTTAGTCTATATAGGATGGTAAAGATATATAAAGATAAATGGATGATAAAAATACATTGTTAGGATTCTCCAAAATAAATTTTACTTAATAACACGTCCGCATGATGTTAATCCTTATTTCTACGAAATCAAAGCATTACTCTGCGGTTTTAATGCAGATTTTTATTTTCTTGACAAACCTAAAGCAGTTGTATAATGTAGAATTAATGGAGGTTTTAAGGCAAAATTCAACCCTAAGCAATTCTGTAAACAAGCCAAGCTATGGCATGCTGCTTTTGCCAGGAGCAACTCGAAGAAGGCATATACTTTTTTCACTCTGAAGAAAGCAAGAGGAAAATTGGTCAAAACAAAAGCGTGCAAATAGCTAAAATGTTTCAACAATATTATAGTGGAAATGTGGAAATTATAGTACATTAACTTTTGATGACTACTTCAACCAAACAAACAAAAAAAAAAAAGAACTTTTGATGACTGGTAGTTAAAAGAATAGCTTTATATTTTATTATTTCTAAAAAGCAAGAGTACAATAAGTCTAGTTCTATTTCTGTCTTATTAGAATCTATTCCTCTCGTATTAGCACTTTACAGAAAAAAAAATATTTTGTGGGTTTTATTTTAGTTATTTTTAATATCTTAAAATTATGTTATTTTTATTTTTTATTAAAAGGAAACAAAAAACAGAACAATTACATTAAAACAGCTTGTGAAATAAAATTCTCGTAATATCAATTAATAGAATTGATGCATTACTTCTAAAAGAATTTTTGAAAAACATCGTGGATAGTAATAATTATGGAGAGTCAATTTTATATAAAAGAATTTACAATTTTCATACAAAAACAGTAAAAGTTAAAATTTTCTCTTAAACTTCATAAAAGTCAGATAAAACTAATGAATTTAGAACAAAAGAAATCTAAAAAGCAATACAATGGTGTTGCATTTTTATGGGGGCGACTATGATATATTTACCTGATCATTGCTGAGAAAAATGGCATGAAGATAAGATATAGGGTAGTAGGGTTAGTGGGCGTCGTCGTGTCATTGAAATGATCAATGGAATAATATTTGCTAAATACAAATGTAGTATAGTGAATATATCTTGTAATTTCTTTGAACAAATCATTGATATGAAAGCACAACAACATCTTCCCGAAATTGTGAAGCATCGTAGTGATGGATACCAAAAGGAGATTCAAGTCCTTAACCTTTTCATAATAAGGATTAATTCTACCCTAAAGAGTGGATGATGACACTATAACATCATGCCAAGGCATTCTTAGAGTGTATTGTTGGTGCATAATGGATCATGAGAATATTAAGCAATAAAATCGAAGGAAAATCCTCATTCTATGTTGACTATAGTTGTATACTACCAAAATACAAGAAGGTTAGTTTAGGGTTTTTAACTTGAAAAAGGGGGAAGAAATAAAGGCAAAGCAAGGAGGAAGTTGGTTTTTTCACTAGGCTTTTAATATTAAGGACAAAGGGAATGCACAAGTGGGGCCTTTGTAGCCCTAGTTTGACAAGCATTAATTAGTTTTTTATCTCTTATTTTTCATAAGGCAAGGTGGTATGGCTTCTCCATACACCAACCAACCATACCAAAAGTAAATCAACAAAAATAAACAAATTCTCACATGGAGATGAGTCATAAATGATGGTGATGAAGAAAAAATGTATAGGGGCGGCTCACTCTACGCTTATCCTTTAGTGACTACACTCGTGAAGAAATGATGTAACTTTCAAAACTAAACTGTGGAGGGGCATCTGGTGACTCATGGCAGCTTTCAATTTGGTCATGCCATAAGAACCTGGGGACATTCAACAACAATATAATATATCTACGCATACCCATTATTTTAATTCTTAACCATGATCAGTTTATTATTTTCGATAAAATTGGAATAAGGGCATAATTTAATATGATGATGATATGCTTGAAATCCTGTGTCAGGGTGTGAGTTTTAAGAAAATATTCATTCCTTGTTAGTTTGTACAATTCGCCCATCCTGCTATACTGCTTTTTTAACAAATGAGAATTGTTTGTATGTAAATAGAATAATAAAGTTGAAGCAAAATTAGTGAGACTCTTTTTAATTCAACAGAAAAGAAAAGAAAAAGAAAATCCCCATGGAAAATGCCAAGAGCATAATAGTATAAAGAAGGGAGAAAGAAATGGGAAAAAAAAAAATAAGCCTCATCTTTCGGCACTCCTTGGCAGCACACAGTCACACACACCTTTGCAGATGTTGTCTTCTCACCAAACCAAATGCCAAGCCAATGGTACCAAACCCACCTTACCTGTAAAAATGTTCCTGGGACATGCCATCCCACACCCTTTTTTATATACATAGAAATTAAGGATTAGGGTATTCGGGTTCCTTTTCTTTAATTTGGATAGCAACCCATGTTGAAAAAAAGGTGACCAAGTTGATACATATCTTTATGATTGCAAAATTGAAACAGTAATCCACTTCAAGTGTAGCTTAATGAGGTCTATCATTAAAGTGGTACAGGACAATAATTAATAATTATGAAAGATTAATGACGTTTTTAAACTAAAAAATAGTAAAAAAAACAGTACAAAATTGCCAACTGTCCTAGTAAAAGCTTTATGATGGTTTTTTTATGAAAATAAAGTAACTTGATGATCATTTCTTTGCATTTAATTTATACTGTAATATATATATTTTTAATCACAGTAAGAAATTGATGTCATTTACAACTTAAAATTCAAATCTTTATAAAAATAATTTCTTTTTCTCACTTTACATCACAAATGATAACGCTCTCTTATTTCGTAAATCTCTCAGACCTTTTTTTTCAAGACTTAAACTGGAGTTTCAGGTTATAATTTTAAATTATAGATGCAATTATTGAAATATTTTTTATTTTTAGGTAAATATGCATAAATGTCTCATCTTTCTTTTTCAAGATTTAAACCCGAAATTTCATGTTATAATTTCACGTTACAAATTTAATTCTTGAAATAATTTTTATTTTTTAGATAAAAGTGCGTAATTTCTTATCATTCCTTTTCAAGATTTAAACTCGAGATTTTATATTATAATCTCAAGTTACAAATTTAATTATTAAAATAATTTTTATTTTTAGGTAAATATGCATAATTTCTCATCATTCCATTTCTAACTTTAAACTCGAGATTTTATGTACAATAACAAGTTACAAATTAATTACTGAAATAATATTTATTTTTTAGGTAAATATGCATAATTTCAAACCATTCCTTTCTGAGACTTAAACTCGAGATTTTATGTTATAATTTCAAGTTATAGATTAATTACTATGGTAATTCATTAAATTTTTTGAATTAAAAAGATTCATTAAGCTTTGGGTTTTACCAAAAAAAAGGTACTCTTGAATTCTCTTCCAACAAAAAAATCTCATTCCTCTCATATATTTCCAACTTAAAATATATAAGATAAGATGAAATCTCAAATTCTAATATCAAGTTTGAATCATAGACTCACTGCAGATTTTATTGTAATTGTTAATGCAAGTAACTTTTTTTTTTTTGCTAATTGTTAGTGCATGTAATTAGAATTGAGTTTAAAGCTAAATCAAATGGATAAATTCCATACATAACAACTTCATGTATAAATAAAGTTAAGGAATACTTAAAACTAATTACATTCTTACCTAATTCAGTTTCCAAATCTTTATTTTAAGAAGTCTTAAATTTTTAATTTTATCCACTAATGACGAGAGTGTAACATGCGATTCATTAACAATTAAAAATGGTGTAAGAAGGTAAAGGACTACGTCAAGAACTTGTCAAAGATTCCAGAGAGGTCGGGTCAAAGGAGACCCGCCAACCTGACCCAGTTGGAAAACCCAAAATTCTGGATGTTATCAACGGAGCGTGTAGTACACGCAGGTAGAAAAAGCGTGTAAATTTGGTTAATGAAGAAAACGGAACCACGCAAATCCTACTTTACATCCCTATAATACTAGTCCCAAACATAATCCGTAGACTTAAAAGAACACTACTGTAGCTGACAGAGACCCCCCAATCTGATTAAAATAAAATGTGATTTATTTGTTTCCCTTTTTTATAAAAAGTTACTCATTTATTGCATCATAATTATGCATTTTCATCTAATAAATGATATATTTGAATTTGACTTTGTTCATTTTAGTAATAAAACGCGGAAATTCATTTCATTGTTACTTTTTTTTTTCTCTTTCCCTCTAGAATAAATCGTGTTATATGATGGTACTTTGACAATTATATCGTGCATTTAAGATCAATGTCAACGAGATAAAAACTTTACTCAAAATTAAAATTTAAATAAAAGAAAATAGACAAAGAATTGTGACGTGATAAATGCATGGGTTTTAATAAATCAACATGCATAAAAAAAATTGAGGAAAAAAGAAAGTGGAAACATTGATGCTGACCAATGGACAGAGAAAGCTTGATGATGCAGGGTCTAAAAGAAATAAAGAAATGAATTAACATTAAAAAAACATATCATGATGACCAATCAGGTACAACTCACTCAATAAAATACAACCCCATGAGCCCTAATTAAACCAAGCATTCAAATAAAATAAAATAAAAAAGAAAAAGCAAAAGAAGAGAGAGAAATATTATAGCATTAGGCGTTGAGAGAGAATAGGGAAAGGAGGGGGTGCGAATGGAAGGGAAGGGGAATGGAAAAGGAGAAGAGAGGTGATAATATAAGGAAGCAAAAAGAAAAGAAAGGAAAAACTGGAAATAATAAGAAAAGGGTAAAGAGGAGTTTTGTTGGGAGTGTAGAGTCGATGGAAATGCGTGCTGATTCCGGTAGAAAGGGAACCTTCTCTGTACTCCTTCTTTTCCTCCTCTTGATCCTCATTTTGCCTCGTATCTAATTTTCTTCTTTTTCTTTCATTACTTTAATTATTTTCCCAACTCCTCTTCAAATCACTCAGTTTCTTTTTTTTTTTTTTTTCTCTTTCTTCCTTATTTTACTTGACATTTCTTCTGTTTTCCGCATCTTCTTCTCCTTTTTCTAGTGTTCCTATTTTTGTCTCTGGATTTGGTTGAAAAACTGAAACCCCACTATAAGTCACAGTAATTCGGATGCTTGTATCGATCTGCGGACTCATTCCTGATATATCCAGGATTGGTTAAGCTCTGAATTTTCCGGGATATTTCTGGGTTTTCCTTTTTTCATTTTTGTGGGTCGGGTTTCCGTTGAATTTTTTTTTTTGATTGTAGGGTTTATGTTGTTGTTGTGGAATTCTTGATTGGGAAATATGTTGGCTGATGATTATTATTATTATCGATATTGTTGTTGTGACTTTTGATGTGTAAATATTGTTATTATGAGATTTGTGATTTAGTAAAAAATTTAGTTTGTGCGGAGGTTTTGATTTAGTTTCCTCCTTGGAAATATTTTGTGATTTCCCGGAGGATTTTTGTTTCATTTTCCTTTTATTAACACCTTTGAGAAAAAATAAAGTCAAAATCAATCAATTGTAAGCTTATAAAAACACATACCCTAAAAATCAATCGAAACCCGCTATTTTTATTGTGGGTTTCTATTATATTTTCAATATTTCCTTATCAAACTAAAGTTTTTTTTTTCTTAAATACTGATTTAGAAGAGGAAGATCAAGGAGAAAAGAGGGGTGATAGGAATTCTATTTTGGGGGTTGTTTGGGATTCTTATGGGCATACCCGATAGCTCACTATTAGATCTAATAGAAAAAGTTAGGTCTTGGATTTCTTGGGGAGCAAGTGATATTTCATGTTTCCCTGGTGAAGAATTTGGGATGCTCGAAAACGGTGTTTGCAAAAAAATGTGTTGTGAATGTGATACGAAGTTTGTTGATGAATTCTCTCATAGATACCGTTGCCAAAGTTGTGGTAGTTGGTTATGTTCAGAATGTGTTGAAAGATATGAATCCCCTGTTGTTGTTGTTGTTGTTGCTGCTGCTGAACAATCAGCTAATGTCAAGGGTAATGATTTTTCGAGGATGATGAGTGTTAAATCTTGCAAGTTTTGTTGTGATGGGGTTAAAGCGAGGCGTGAAAGTGGAGGAAGGAAGTATTGTGAGAAAGTGCATCCTTCTGAATCTCCCCGGGAGAGCCCTGAACCACCATCCCCATGTTCTGTGAATAGTGAATCAATCAAGAGTGATCATCTTGGCCGGTATCTTGAAGCCCGAGATTGCAGGTGTTCTCTGCAGGCAGTAACTGGCGAGAGTATGACTTCATTTAGTGCTCATCCTTCTTCAGCATCTACTCGAAGATCTCCCAGCAGGTACTTCCGCTTAGATGACAATTACTTTGCTGGAATTTTCGTTTTTTCTTTTTTATGTAAATTGGAGACACCCTGTTAACCTCCTAATATTAGTTTTGTTCTTGACCTTTTTTTCATCTTTTTTTTCCTGGTAGTGAATGTGTTGTTATTTGTGTATTTACTGGTGTAGGAGTGATGAAGAAGATGCTGCTGATTCTGGTAAGCACTTTTTGAGTCTCTCGGCTGAATATTGTCATGATGTTTCGGATTTAGATTTAAGTAGTATTAGTGCTAGACATGAGTTTTATAGCTTTAAGTCCGTGGGATCAAGTCCTTCAGTCAGCCCCTCTAGGAACAATTTTACTCCTTATAGAGTTGGGCATTCTGTACAGCGGAGGCAAGAAGGGAGCCCAATGGCTCAGTATGTTGGCCCCTTTGATCGAGAAAACATGGCTGTTTTAAGAAAGCCAGAGACAGGGAGTGAGGAACCAGAAAATACTGAAGATTACTCCGATGACATGTCTGTTTTTCATAATCATTATGCAAAGTCCCAAAAGCCATTGGATTTTGAAAACAATGGTCTGATATGGTATCCTCCACCACCTGAGGATGAAAACGATGAGGCAGAGAGTAACTTCTTTACATATGATGATGAAGATTATGATATTGGGGATTCTGGTGCAATGTTCTCAACAAGTAGTAGCCTTTCAAGTATGTTCCCAGCAAGGGAGAAACAAAATGAGGGAAACAAAGAACCTCTCAGAGCCGTAATACAAGGGCATTTCAGGGCTCTTGTGTCACAACTATTACAAGGTGAGGGCATTAAAGTTGGTAAAGAGGATAATGCTGGGGACTGGCTTGACATTGTCACAGCAATAGCATGGCAAGCTGCGAATTTTGTGAAACCAGATACTAGCAGAGGAGGCAGTATGGATCCTGGTGATTATGTGAAGGTTAAGTGTATGGCGTCTGGAACTCCCAGTGAGAGGTGTGGGCTACCTTACTTTTTTCAGATATTCTAAATTTCAATGTTCTATAGTTTTTCCCTTTTATATTCTTATTATATGAGTTCATAACTTGTGAATTCTGTCATTCTTGCAGCACCCTTGTCAAGGGAGTGGTCTGTACCAAAAATATAAAACACAAGCGCATGACCTCACAATACAAAAATCCTAGATTACTTATTTTAGGAGGGGCCTTAGAATTTCTAAAAGTTCCAAATCAGCTGGCATCTTTTAACACATTACTTCAACAGGTTTGTTTTAAACACTTGTTCCATTTATGCAGGTCAATAGAAGGTTTTTGTGGGATTAAAACCATCACATATTTGTGTTCTCTCTCTCTCTATGTGTGTGCGTGTGTGTGTGTGTGTTCTAAATGTTTGCCATTTGGGCAGGAAAATGATCATCTCAAGATGATGATTGCAAAGATTGAGGCTCTTCGCCCCAATGTACTGCTGGTAGAGAAGAGTGTGTCTTCATATGCACAAGAGTATCTACTTGCTAAGGAAATTTCATTAGTGCTCAATGTGAAAAGGCCATTATTGGAGCGTATAGCAAGGTGCACTGGTGCTTTTATTTGTCCTTCAATTGATAATTTATCTACTACGCGATTGGGGCACTGCGAATTGTTCCGGTTAGAGAAAGTAACTGAAGAACACAAGATGGCCAATCAGTTTAACAAGAAACCGTCAAAAACACTGATGTTCTTTGAAGGTTGTCCGAGGCGTTTAGGTTGCACGGTAATATTTCTATTTATGCATATGATTCTCTTTTTTAAGTTCATTTGAATTGTGGGAATTTTTAGCCACATATGCTTCCCTCTTTCTTTTGTAGGATACACACTGGCTGTCCACATTTAATTTATGAGCATTTCGATTCTTTAGTTGCTTCCAGTGCTGAAACACTACTCCATTTCGATTGTTTCAATTAATTTGTCTTTTGCTTCTCTGTGTGGCACAAACATTTTAGTTTGGGTCTTTCCAAATTTCTTCTGGTTAGATCTTGTTGACATGGTCTCATGGCTTTATTTATTTAAATAAATGCTTTTATCCCCTACTCTCCCTCCCTCCCCTCCTTTTATGTGTATGTAACTATGAAACTGTCGGAAATTGATTTCTTTCTACTTGTTGAGGGGCTTGATTATATGAGTTGTTGTGGCACATTTCTCTAGAACTGTTCTACTTCTTTATTCAGTGCAGAAAGTGGAAAAGGAGGAATGTAACAAAAGATTAGATGAAATTTAGTTGCCCGTTGATCTCTCTCTGATCATTGTAGGCTGTTGAGGACTAGTAATTGATTTGCTCATGTGGATGGTAAAATAGCATCGGGCAAGTAAACACATGGATGCTTGCATGAAAAATGAAATATAAATCTTACTTGCAGGAATGTGTTCACTGATCTGTATTTTAATGTATATGATCTTGATGCCAGTATCTTCCAAAGATGTTAAGCATAGTTGTTTCTAATCAGATTGCCTTGGTTCTCTTTATAGGTCCTGCTGAGGGGCAGATCTCATGAAGAACTAAAGAAGGTTAAACATGTTGTCCAATATGCTGTTTTTGCAGCCTATCACTTATCACTTGAGACTTCCTTTCTTGCTGATGAAGGTGCTACTCTGCCTAAGATGAAAGGAAAACGTTCGATTGCTGTACCTGAGAAAACGCAGACTGACAATGCCATTTCAGTTGTACCTAGTTCCTCTTCTCCATCCAGTTTCAACTTGATAGTCAATGCTTCTGCTCAGGATGATGCATCTCTGAGTCACAATCCAGGGCATGGAGGATTGGAATCATTATCTGAGTCCTATGATCAAAGTCATTTTTTTCATTCATCTGGTGGTTCCTTTCTTGATGCATGCAATGATGACTTGGCACATAATGACTGCTTGGACATGTGTTCTTTGGAACAATTCAAGGATTTGAAGATGTCCACGATGTTGCCTTGTGATATTAGAGATTTTCCTCGATCAGATTTGCAAGAAACCATGACAGAAGAGGAGAGGCATCTTGGTGAGATTCACAAAATGGCAAAATTTGAAAAGATTGATGAGGATGAAGCTTCCAGTGAATACTTTTCAGCCACCGACACGCACCAGAGTATATTGGTTTCATTTTCAAGCCGGTGTGTGCTGAAAGGAACTGTATGTGAACGGTCACGGCTCCTGCGAATAAAGTTTTATGGTTCTTTTGATAAACCACTTGGAAGATATCTTCGTGATGACCTGTTTGATCAGGTAACTCATTTCAGATTTTGTGTGCCTTCATGTGAGAATATTGGGTCTATGTTTGAATTATATATTAATAGGTTTTCTTTGCAGGCATCTTGCTGCCGTTCGTGTAATGAGCCAGCTGAAGCCCATGTTTTATGTTATACCCACCAGCAGGGGAATCTGACAATCAACGTAAGACGCCTTTCCTCTCTTAAGCTGCTGATGACGGATGAATTGGATGTGCACCGATGCCTACGGTGCTATATAGTGTCGGTTTCCGAACTTCTTAACCCGAGTATTATGTCATGCTGCCTGGGGACTATCTTTTGGAAAGTTTTGGAGCTTAGTTTTTCAATCATGCGACTGCTATCGGTTGCACCTGTGGTCATTCATTGCAGAGGGACTGCCTTCGTTTCTATGGGTAAATGCTGTTAAAGTTTTCATCTGTTATATTGTTGACAGTTAAGGTATCGTTTATTATAGTAGCATTTTACAGATTTGGCAACATGGTTGCATTCTTCCCTATTCCCCAATTGAGTATACTATCAGTCCATTTGCCCCCATCGATGCTTGAATTTAGTGGGGATGTCCAGCGAGTGGTTAGAAAAGAGGCAGCGAGGTTTGTTGTCTATTTTCCCTCTTGTTCTTTTTTTTTTAATTGCCTCTTTTTTTCTTATACCAATAATTGGTATTTAATATTGACTTTTATCTTCTTCTACAGCTAATGGTCAAAACTTGTATGCGGAGTCTGATGTACTTGACAGCATTCAGAAGAGTAATTCTGCTAGCTGTCAATCATCAAATGCAAGTGAGTTACCGAATCACATTATGGAACTGAGAGATCAGATTCGAAAGAAAGAAAGGATTACAATGTAAGTACACATAGCTAGTTACTGATATGGCCTAGAAATATACTGGTGTGTGTATGTGCTGTCACAGGTTGACTAGCTTTCTGTTTATAGGTTTGCTACAACCAGTTGTTATGGAGGCTTCACAACTTGGTCTGCAGCATGTGGACATCCTAGAACTGAATCGCTTAAGGCGTTCACTTCTAATTGGTTCACATATTTGGGATCGGCAACTTCATTCATTGGACTCTCTTCTTAGGAAGTTCTGCTGTTAAAGCTTCGTGGATCATATTAAGGATGGAAAACCTGAAGCTCATGGAAATGCCTGCAGATCCTCAGATTCGCGCGAGCCTCCTAAGATGACTTAGGTTGGAACAGAACTCAAGTTTAACAACCTTGGAATCTGTTGTACCAGAAGAATCTAACTTGGCATTATGCCCCCAGAGGAGGTGTGCATCCAGATAAAGATCCCATCTCTTGTCTGCTCTATCTAAAGAATATCTCTCTTGATCGTACCGACTACTCACATTGGTTCAACTCTCTGAAGCATCTCAGGGAGATGGCCCCCAAGCTGGTCTACCAGGCCAACGACTAAAATCATAATCTGACTTTGAGAAAATAGATCTCCAATGTGCTTCATTCGTTTGATTCTGCTTAGTTATTCCAAAAAAAAATTCAGAAGGACTGTCCCTTCTTCTCTTGCATTTTCTCTTAATCTTTCCATGCTTCTGGAGATTACAGGAGTAGGTGCGGGATCCTGTTTCTGTAATAGGACTTACTCCCACACATTGCCTCTAGAGGCTCAAAAGTTGAATTTGTTACTCAGTTCCACACCACTTAATCACCTCTGCATCTCATATGGCTGAAGGGCTCGGCTACTCTTTCCACAGAGGGCACAGTGATATTGTTATTGCTGTTTACGACAATGATCCTGCAAGTATATATCATATGCTCTTAGTTCTAAAGAATATGAGGAGTGGTTTGCTGATAATCCTATGAAATGGGGGAGGTGGAGTGTCATGACAGGAGCAAAGAAATTCTGTAGCTTCCAACTTTTCACCCTGGCAGTCATTTGGCTCTTTGATCTGGATTATATCCATTACGGAAGTTTTGGCTCTGAAGAAGCATCATCATCTGTGGGTGCCATGTTTGCAGATCAAAAAGGTCTCCACATTTAACAGTTCTTTTGGAGATGATTCTTCTGCTGCTGTGGCAAAGTGAAGTTTTTCTGTGACTTGTTATTTTGCGAACAGTTTGATTCTCTTAGAAGAGTTGTTGCCCGTGAATTGGATTTTTTGTGTTCCTTGAGCCGCTGCCAGAAATGGAGTGCACAGGGAAAGAGCAATGTGTTTTTGCCAAATCATTAGATGAGAGATTCATTATTAAACAAGTGGCAAGACAGAGTTAGAATCCTTTTGAATTTGCACCGGAATACTTCAAGTATTTGACAGATTCCCTTAGCTCAGGAGCCCTTGCTTGCTAAATTTTGGTTTTTCAGGTTTTCCTATGTACTTCTTTGAAAGCATTGTTTCTGTGGATTCAGTTGGGGTTGGGAGTGTCTAATATTCAGGTTTCATTGTAATTTTTTGTTGTTGCTTGATGGTAGGTCTCTGTAACACCTAAAGTGTGCGAAACAAAATGGATATTATGTGATGAGAGACCTATTTTTCAGAGATATCTCAGTATATGATCTTAAGGGCTCTGCAGGTCACGGTACAATCCAGATACAAGGACAAACAAAGTCTGCTAGTATTGAACCTGTTAGAGCATGCGCACGGGGAGCCATTTTTCTGGGAAGCAAGCAAGAGAAGCCTTGAGAGAGCCATTTGGAATGATACATCGTTTTTGGCAGTAAGTTGCTTCACCATAAGAGCTTGAAAAATGTTCATGTCTTTCATTCTTCCTGGTCAATGTTGAAGTAGTATAGATAGGATTTGAATGTGATGCTGTAACCAAAATCTTTTCATACGATCTTAACAATTATTCCATTGGACTAAGATTCTTTTCCCATTTGCGTTTTCTTTATAATATTATTGAATTTTTGTGCTGTGCTTTTCAGTCGTTGCTGTCATGGACTATTCATTGTGTTTGAGTGGATGAGGAGCGCAAAGAGCTGGTTTTGGAATTATTATTTCGATGAGACAATATACTTGGGACAAGCACTTGAGACATGGGTTAAGGCGTCTGGGATACTGGGTGGGCCAAAGATGGCATCCCCACAATTATTTCTCCTAAACAGTACAAGAAAGGTTCCGGAAGGCTATGACACCTATTTCTCACTGTACCTGATCAATGGACTTCATGATCTGTATTATCATTGATTCATTGGTTCATTAATAAGGCATAAGAAATTGTAATTGTTGATAAATGAGAAGGGAGCTCCCTCTCTCCCAAGGTTTTGTTTCTCTTTTATCCTCATTTTTTCTTTCGGCACAAGTTCTCTCTTGTGGGCAGAAGTGGCCTACATCTAAAACAATACTACAATGTGGAAGAGGGGAAACGAAGCATTCTTTTGAGGGCTCTTTTTAATGACCTCTAAGAAAGGGAAGAGTTTTGAATCTTGTGTAATGCTGTAGTGTAATTTTTATTCCGTGCGCTTGTGCAAACGTTCCCCGGAGAAGCAGAGTTCCTTTACCTTAACATGACTTGTTTAGAGCTTTATATTTTTAACTCTTGGAGGAAGCAGCAGGTGATCAAACCTTGGACCTTATGTTCTTCATCCATGTGCCTGCATTGGCCACGTGTGAAGGTTTTGAAATGATTGTCGAAAGTCTTAACAATGGTTGAATTTGAAAGTGCATGCTCAGTTTGCTCGCCAAAACGAGGCTTTGCCAAGTTTCTGGTGTATTTTTCATGAGGACCCAAAGGCATCAAACGCTTTTTAAACGTGCAGGTCTCCTTACTTGTGGATAAAACGAAAACATTCTCTTATTTTCAAAGTTAAGTGACCTGGCCTCAGAGGATAATACGTTAGTTTATTAGTTTGTTACTTTTCGGCATTCATAAAAAAACTCTCCCATTTATTATTTATTATTTTTTTAGGAATGTCCCAACATTAAGTTGTCTTTTTTGGACCTAATGTGTTAAATGTTCCTGTTAGGTTCATGTTTCTGCTCTTTTTTTAGTTTCATAGAACCATTATTGAAATAAAGAAAACATAGATAATTGCTTTATACTAAAGTTGAAGCCATTGGATTCGATGCCTTCAAAATTTAAGTTATGACCCTAAAAGAATGACAATAATAATAATAATGCACGTTATAATCAAGTTTGTCGCTGTTATGAGAATAATGCTTCTCTCCCATAATAAAAGCACTGTTCTAGTCACAGTCACATAGAGGTGGCAAAATGGCCGTACAGCCCGACCCACATTATTACAGTAATGGGCCTGACCTTATTAATGGGTCGTGACCCATGGGTCAGCACAACCTGGCCAGTAATCTTTTTTATGTATGATTTTAAGAATTTAACTAAATCTAAAGAAAGTAGTCATGAAATCTCAATATTTAATTTTTTTGAGTTTATTTTTGAAACTAAATAATTGTTATTATGTTAATGTACTATCTAGAAATATTATTTTGGTTTTACATTTAACGATCAATATGATTTCGAATTTACAAGTAAAAGCAATTATTTGTATTGCCAACTCTCCTACATTTTTTTTTATTTATTCACCAATAGCCAATGAGCTCCTTACTTCAACTATCAAGCTGAGTCAGTGGAGCTTGTCTTCACATGCACAAGGCCTCTCTTTCTAACCCATTTAATATTTATCAAAAATAATTCAATCTTTTTTCCCCCTCATGTCATAGTCCTCATCTTCTTCTTTTGAAAATAGAGATTTTCGACCTTAGTCATGGGCTTTTATTCCATTTACCTTTCTAATAATATTGTCAATATTTATATTTAAGCATCTGACTCAATAACTCAATGAATAAGATTCGATTTTTTTTTATTTTTTTTCAAATAAATCAATATTTTAAAAATTAATTTATTTAATCACAATCCAAAAACTACTATTGATTTACAAAGATTATTCATAATTTATGAATTAATTAATTTTGTTAATAAATATTTAGAACAACAAGTTATTAAAGAATTTCCGCCAGTATCATTCATGCTCTCCCAACATCCGCGGGCAAAGTTTCTTCATGTACCAAAAAGGAAAATCTATTAGGTATAAAAAAGAGACAATACATAAAACATATTCCATGAAATAGAGATCACTAAATGTATATATGTATATATATAGAGTCATTGCAGAAAGATTTGAACAACCATGCATGCCCGGCAAGGTCACATCTCTCACTCCAAAAGCTTGAAAGATAAATTTCTTCTATGTACAACAAACTGTATCTATATGTAGAGTGAAGTCTAGAGGGATGTGGAAAATTGTGCATGGACCATCTTCCCATTGCTTTGCTCTGATTTATTTAATTAGAACACTGAGTGAGCATACTCTTCATGGTTAGTCAAGAGGTAACTGCTATTTGGCTCCCTCCTTCACTGATTGGCGTGAAACTCACCCGTTTCTGCAAGGAACACAGAAAACTTTGAGAAGGTAGCTAATTCGATCGGTTATTAATCAATTACTTAATTCGATTTGGAGTTGGAGAAACAAATCGAGTGTCTTTGGGTGAATTGCCTTGGATTCTCTTTGATCTTTAACTACCATTCTTTGTGGGTTCTGTAATTGTTTTTTTGGTTTAATTATACCCATCATATGACAAGACGTGCATGCATGACTAAGCTCAAATAGAGTCAATTATTTTTCATAATTTTCTTCCTAGAATGATAATGCGAAATGACGTAAGGAAAAAAGAAAGGAGACACAAGAATATGTGATAATTAAAATTTTTAAACAACAAACAAATAAAAGAAAGGTTGTTCTTCAGTCAAAGTTAGGTTGCCCTTTTTCGCCGCTGGGGATTTGATTGATTTGTGGAATCATGGATAAGGAAGGACTTCTTGAGATCAGGTTCAGCTGTTTCGAAGGCTCTGCCACAAGGAGGTTTTATATGGTGTTGTATGACAAAAGATAAATCCTAGAGCATGTATTTCTTCAAGAACAACCTCATTCTTAGGTCAAATGCACGTGAGTCGAGATAGATTTGGCTTGAAACCATAGCTAGCTGTAGCTTTAGCTTATCTTAAGTCTGAGACAAGTCCAATAAAGACACGTCGATGTAATTAGCCTTAAATTTTAATTGAGATGCATTTATTTCTAGGGGCCAAGATCCAAAAGATGAGACGAACTCATTGGAAAACTTAATTGATTAGTCAAATTTTGCATCAGAAAATAGAATTATGTTCTCGACGACTTGGTATTAGCCGGAGAGAACTTCGTAGAAAAGTCCAAATTTAGGGTGCTAACTCCTAAACAATTGCTTTTCTTATTACTAGTACTTTGTTCTGGTCCAACGACTTCCCAAATCCCCTTTCTCAATTCCTGCTCCGTACGTCATACCATTCACACTTGTAACTAAACAGATAACATATCAAATATGTCAACTCCTATAAGCATATTCTATAATAAACTTTTCGTGTTTAAGCTTTAGAAAAATAGGGGGAAAAAAACAAAAAACCCAATGAAAAATACCACGAAAACAGGATCATTGTCTGGTGAAACTAACCTCACGGGCCTTGAAACCTTCTCCAACTCTTCCGTGGCTGCCCTTCCAATGCACTTGTTGCTGCGAAGACGGGCCGCCGTTTCCTTTCTGCGCAGCTTCACGTGGGCTGTTTCTGGTATTTGCCACGCAAAGTTGCATGATTTTCTCTGCTGCCTCTGCCTCATTTTTGCTTTCTTTCATCAACCTCTCCACTTCTGCCTTTGGTAGCCTCATTTTCACCCTCATTGCTCCACTTTCAGACCCTTCTTCTTCGGACTCCTCGGGTATCACACTTTTGGGTTTCATGAGGGTAAGATCAGACACGGATCTCCTCGACAGCATCAGGCTCTCGAGCCTGTCTTTAGCACTCATGTTTATGCCCGACCGAACCCTTCTCGTAACTCTCTCTTTGGGAGCTTCTGGCAACTCTACCAAGAAGTAGAGCCGCTTGGGCTCCAAGCTCTGGTGTGGCTGCAAAGGCTTTGCTCGAATACCAAAATGCTTAACAGATTCCGATTCTAGCAAAACATGGCCTGGATAATCTTTTACCACCTCTTCAGCTTTCACCGGGGTCTTCAACTTGAATGTTTCGCCGTTAATCTTCATGACCTTGGTGGTCTTTTTCCCGCCCAGGCTATTCCCCATTTGCCTAGGTGTTGTTAGTTGTAAGCAGCTAGCTAGCAAGCTTTATGTCGTCGATGTTCCTATTTTTTAGTTTAAGACAGAGAAGTGAACCACAAAACTGGTTTGCTCTTTGGCCTACTTTAAAGCATACAACATTTAAATGGTGGGTGTATGATAAAAGGACAAAAGGATATATAGTGGTTGATGCTAAGGCAGCACTGGTCAACAAAGAGGGCAAACCTTTTGAAAATAGGCAAATGTTTATGTTTGACAAAACAAAACAAAAAAGGTACGTAACATATCGCTTTCAATCAAATATTATTATCTATGCTAAACTATGAATCAAAATTTAACATATGAAATCCAAAATTAAACCGTATAGAACCAATTCAACAACCACGTCCATATGGCTAAAATAAACCCAACAAAAGGACTGGAGGCAATTCTCCAAAAATTCATGCCCCGTGATATGTGGGGAAATTCTATGCATGATCTTCTCCTCTTCTCTTGCAGTCGAAAATGGTTTACGGTAATCACGGCACGGGGGAAACCTGGATTAAGACCTTTTCTCGTTAAGATTCAAACTGCACATGTGAAAACTGACTTTGAAGGTTAAAGCTGTATGATTATCTACTCAATTTCAGCATGACGAATTGACCGTGGAAGAAAAGTACTTTAGTCTACCACCAACCTTTCTTTTTCTCACTATTATTACCAAGTACTATACCGACTGCTAAGGTTGAATTTGTCTCCACAAACGGAAAGCTAAGGGTTTCGAGGCTTAGGCAGAGTTTGATTTTTTCAATGGCAAGGTCCAAATTGACAGTCCGCTCATCAACATGGAACTCACTTACTTGTAAGCCTGTTTAATTATCAAACTTAATTTTCTCTGCTTCTAATGTCCGATGGAACCCTTTTTCGATTTTAACAGCATCATCATCTGTCGTAGTTTCATGCCATTTTTTTCCCCAAATTTTCTTTCATGCCTATGTAAGCTCGTTGAATTTAGAATAACTATATAAATTTGGAAAAACAATTTCCTCTTTATTATTTAAGTTCAATATTCAAACTTGAGACTTTCTCTTTTCTTTGTTATTCTGTAAGCAATTTCACATTGCACATGAAATTGATCCCAACGGTGTTGGCTTGATTTTGGATTGTAGGAATAGTAAGGTGTAGGCGTTTTAGAATGGGTGCAGCAAGTATTTCTCACAGAAAACTAGTTTCACTTTCCCATTGCCCCAACAGTTCAACACCTAAGAAACAGGTAGCATCTTGGTAATTGTAAGGAAAGAAATTTAACTTGGAACACGAGAGGGAGGAAAGACAAAGGAACCAACGGAAAAACTGACAAAAAAGCCAAAAAAGCTCACGAAAATCATATTGTTCATGCGTATCCAAATTTAAGCATACTTATCCATTCTTCTGGTGACCCTCTTTTCTCCAATCAACAACAAGAATTTTCCAAAGGACAACCGCCGCCATCGTACCCAGCGGCGCCTTAAACAATTGCGTCACGGGAACACTGGCATTATCCAAAGCCCATTTCCCATTACTTCGGCTTTTCACTTAGTTTGATCAGTCTTCGCTTTTGCTTTCAAAACAAAAAGGTCACGTTGCATTTGCAAGGCTTATGCCTTCTTCTACTCCAATTTTATTAGCAAGAAATGCCTGTAGATTACTTTGCGAGTTGTCCCCTTTAATTTTCTTTGAATTGGTGCTTTTTGCATGCAAATTAAGGATCAAAGTCATATATCATTATGCACCCAATTTTTGATACATTGACTCTACAAGGAGGTCGACCAACAAAGTAGAATTTGCTTCAGAAAGAATCGGCCAAATCCAGCTGTGGATTATAAACATACGATAGCAGAATAAGACCGTAGTGTCAATTTTAAAAATCATTCAAAGATTGGATTTTATCAGACTTCTTTCTGCCTCCAATTAATCAGATGGACAGCCAACTAAGTTATAGTTTGGGATTGTTTAGGAGATATAATCGTCCGCCACAAATTTGCTCTGTTTCTAAGTTTCGACTGTGAGAAATGCTGGAGATGACATTCTCAAAACAACTAAATGCTGCAAGTAATTCATTCGTTTAGCAGAATTATTATAAAGTCCATTGATCCCCTTAAACTTTGTCGGTCCTGGAAGAAAATTTGTACATTAAGCCAAATCCAATGTCACCTAGCTGTTCTATTTCAAATTTTAATACAACTATTAGAACAAATGAGAGGAATCACAAATTTACAATCGTAACATGTTCAGCTACAACATACTGTCCCAAGCACTTTTTCGTCTAAAATCCACTCTTTTATACAGAATAACATAAGGAATTTCTGTGGCTCTATGAAAAACCTCAGGCATGTTTCTCAATGTACAGGGTTATTTTGGTTAAGGAGAGGACGTGTTGTAATGATAAATTAGGATGCACTAGAGGCGACAGAGAGGAAGACTGGAGCAGTCTTTGAACGTAATTACTTTGGGTGGGAGGTGGTGAAGAATGAGAAAAGGTAGAAAAAGCGACGAATTACGACGATTGGGAAAAGCTGAAGAGAAAAAAAGAATTTAAAGAGAGCTTTCAGAGTAATTTTTTGCTGAGTGTCTAAAATCTCTTCTCCTTACCTCTTAACCTCCTATTTATACTAAATTATAGTACTTTCTTAAAAGTAGTTAGGAGAACCTCCTATTTATACTAAATTATAGTACTTTTTTAAAGTAGTTAGGAGAACATGTTTAATCATGAGAGAACGTGCTTATCATAAGGCCTTGAGAAAATTTTATGGGGTATTAAAAAATTGAAATGTAGTTGAGTAATAAGCGTAAGTTTCGAGTAAATGAAATAATACATTTGATAGAGCTGTGTTTTCAAGAAATAAGAAAAAAAAAAACAAATAAAGCACATGTCTTTAAAGAAAAGTTAAGAGAAAGTCTTCTTAATTATTTATATTGAACCATTAAGCCAAACTCTCTAAAGCATCTAAAATTAAAAGTAACTCATGAATCTCATCATTGTTCTAAGTTACTATCACTTCCCCCTCAATATAGCTTTTCATGCTCTACATTAGCTGTTCATGCTCATTCTTGGGTTTTTCTGTGCTTGTAATGCTCTTTGAGTACTTCTACGCTTGGAACACCCCTAAGCGCTTCTTGCGCTTGGAACGCTGGGCACTTCTGTAGTTGGAACACCTTGGACGCTTCTGCTGCTTAAAACACTCCTAAGCGCTTCCATACTTGGAACACCCTGGACGCTTCTGAGTTTAAAACAACCTAAGTGCTTCTAGCTTGGAATACCCCTAGCTTGGAACATCTCAGAGAAGAATGCCCTTGAGCTCTTCCACACTTGGAACATCTCAATGTAATTTTTTGTAAAACTAGAATTGGGCATCTACACTCAACAACGGCAAGAGACCATAACGAAAGCAGTCTTCATTAATCAAGAGACCAAATAAATTTTTACACTCATCAATGAAAGAAATGAATGCCCAGAGAGCAATGAGAATGGTTTGTATCTCATGCTCTCAGTTCTCGGGTCCGAAAGGAATAGAATGGCAATTTTGTCAAACAATTAGAGTCAAAAGAAAAAACAATTAACAAACTCTCAGGTACAACCACAATGGTCAGAGCTGCTGCAATTTGTGAAGGTGCTCCAACAATGAAGTAGCCTTCCGCTTGGCCCTCTCTGTGCCACTCTTGGTAAGCTCTGTCAAGGGTATGGCAGCACCAAGCCTGCTTATGCAGGCAAGATTCTCAGTATCTCTCTTACACAAAGAAAGTAAAATGGCAGCTGCATTCTCTTTGTTGCGGGGCAAACCTGTTCTTAAAAGATCAATCAAAACAGGTATTGTACTAGCCTTTACTATAGCAGCCTTAGCATCATGGTTGCTAGCTAGAACTGACAGTATTGTTAGAGCCTCATCAACCATGCAGTTTCTTGAATCTGTGAGCATCTTAAGCAGTGCTGTCACAATTCCAGCTCTGACAGCCCTGCCCTTGTTCCCCTGATAAATGCATAGATTGAACAGAGCAGTTGCAGCATCTTTCTTCCCTCTAGTGCTCCCATGTTGCAGCAGATCTACCAAAGCTGGTATTGCCCCTGATGCACCAATTATTATTTTGTTCTCATCTGCAAGTGACAAACTAAAAAGGGTAGCTGCCGCGTTCTCTCTTGCTTCCATACTTCCAGCTCTGAGGACTTGGACAATGGAAGGAATGGCACCAGCAAGCATTATAAGAGACTTGTTATTTTCAAATATGGAAAGGTTAAGAACAGAAGTTACTGCATGTTCTTGCAATGACACATCATCTATCGTTAGTAGTTCACCAGAACAGGTATCGCTCCTGCATCTGCAATTAGTATCCTGTTATCAGTGCTTCTCTTTGATAGTGATCGGATTTCAGCCACAGCAGCCCTACATTCCTCTAAGCACCGGCTTGACAGCTTACAGACCAGAGCCTGGATGGCTGCCATGTCACCACTAACATCACGGAAAGATCCATCACTCTTTTTAAGCCTACCATTTGCTAACCCGCTTGGCTGCTCAAATATATGTTTAGCACACCATTGATTTATTAGACTTCTCAGAACATAATTAGGGGTTAGAGTTAAATTCTCCAGCTTCTGCTGCGTTTCGGACATGTTATGTTGCCACAATCTATCCATCTCTGTATGTAAGATCTCTCATATGTCTGTAAAATCAAGAAGATGTAAAATCAGAAGCCAGTATGAAACGAGATGGCTAAAAGGCAAAGGTTGATCAGACACAGGAACGACAAGCATAGTTGTGGCGGCGCACTATACCTGTCCTGTAGCCACAATCACCGGATCTCTCATTAGTTCCAAAGATATAGGGCATAGAAAATCATCAGGTATTACTAGTGCATCAGGCTTCTTGATTTTCTCAGTACCCTTAATGGCCGCATTCTCTTGCCCTTTGGAATCATTTTCATTGATAGACAGACCTCAGATGAGGTTGAAGAGCTCTTCACTCTTTCCAATATCTTAGTCACCTGATCTGCACATGTCTTTGAGGACCCCAATTTTCTGGAATGCCATCCAGCTTTGCTAAAATTTCATGGTTGGTACTATCATATTCTTTTTCCAGTGGCTGGGGCAGGGCATTAGAAAACTTTCTCAAATTCAAAGACCCATATCTTTCTGTT